CAGTTCATTTACAAAGAATACTGTTGAAACAAAAGTGCATAAGGACACTTCAATTTTTAACAGTTTCAAGTTTTCGCTTTGCCTTTGTTGCAGGCAACTTGTCATTTGATGTTTTTGCCTTTGTGGCAGACATCTTGTCGTTAGCCGTTTTGCACAAGTTGTTTAGGAGGGTGTTTGCTGCTGCACTTAAAATGTAATGCATGACCTGTTGAGGAGCATGCCCATCAACACAAACATCCAGGTCATCATTATCACTGAGGATGTCATACACAAGGGCCACTAACACTTCTTTCTGTTTAGGAAGAGCAAAGAACTGAGTTGCAAAGCGTGGACTCCTAAGCTTATCGAGCACTATTTCCATGGTAAGCACAGCATTTATAACAAGTTCACGTGGGAACTTCAGCCCACCCCTTGTCATGCTCATAATGAGGACATTTTTAGCAGTGTCTATCTCTGCAACATCCATTACTAGGTTTTCTTTGCATGATTGGCACAACAGTTTCTTTAGAGCTGCGTGAGCACAGTAACCTGCAACATATGTCACAGCGGGCAGCCTTGTCACTTTGTTCTCAATATCACTGTCATTAACTGTGATGTCAAACTGGCTTAGCAGTGAGCTGGCACTAATGACAGGAATATCGCACACCATGTCAACGTCTGGCAGCTCGAGCACTTTCTGTAACCGCAGCTTTGTCTCAGACTCATATATCTGTCTAATTGACACATGATAGTTGGCCCCAGACAACTGACGGTAACGACCAAAGCGATCCTCGAGACAATCTGTTTGAAACTTGCCTAGCAAAACATATTGCATACCAAGCTCTTTGAGGCAGTAAATAGTAATCTCGTGGAGCGCGTGAGTTGTATGACAGAAAGCTGAGTGCGTTTCCCTCGTCAAATGTCCTGCATCGTGCTTCAAACTTTCCCAGTAGTCTAGCCACTGCATTGTTTTCTCCAAATGCTGTAACTGGAGGCAAGATGTTGAGGTTATAGGCTTTTGCAGGTCATCTGAAAGCCTCTGGCCCTTTCGTGGTGTCTTTACATTAACAATATTCCACCATGTTAGCAGCGTGTTTATGTACAAAGCTGTACTGTCAGCGTGCTGAAGGTTGCTATTGTGAAGTGCTGCCACAGTTGATGAATTAAAGATTCTCAATGCCAACTTTACATCTTGTCTCTCCATGTTAGAAGGATTTAATGCCTTTAATGACAATGTCGGAGCCATCTTCAAGAGCTCACTTTGTTCAGACTCATGCAGCTCACATAAAGTCTTGAACGATGCGGTTAAAATCTTGGGTTTGGCTTCTGTACTCTTTGGATCTGGGAAATACATGCACCTTCCTGCATTGCGCTGATTTAACCAGTTATTTCTGATACATTTCAATAAGTGGACAGGGTCCACGACAAAAAACAAAGGTCGCGATTGGTCAGCTGGATGTTTATAAACTATCTGTAGTCTTGGAGGGCTTGAAAACAACGACATTGTTTTCCTGTTGATAGAATTGTTGTCAGAGATGATAGCAATCACTTTAAACCCATTATGCTCGAGCTTTAAAACTAGCATTCGCAAAAAATCATGCAAGCATTTTGCATCAATTGTAGCGACTGGCAAAATATGCACAACATCTTTGTGATTAGAAAGCAGACTCTGGGTCATAAAGACATATGCTGTTTTAGCCGGGCTTGCAGTGTTGGCTGCTGCACCTGTTATTGACCCAGCTTTGAAATCAAAGTATGACTGAATGTGAATTTCATCCATCATTAAAGTTACTATCTTTTCATGTTCTTTCATTGTAGTAGCAACCTTTTTAGCATATGACAAAAAATAAGAGTCTTGCTGCTCCATGGCTGGGCTTATTTGTTGAGTGGTGCAGAGACGTCTTATTGTTTCAGGATGAGGCAACTTTACCTTCAGTGAACCTATAAGGAATCTGTATGCATGCGGCGAAATGGTGTAGAGGAGACTTGCAAATACTAACAGGTCTGGCGGGTAGCGCGCTGCATTATTAAGGATGAGCTGCACTTGGGATTTTATAAACTTCACAATTTCCAGGGGCCATCCATGAAGCTTATGTTGCTGATCATTGCATATGAGCTCCTCCAACAGTGCCATCACAGTCGCAAGTAGTTGACGAGCCCACTGAAAATTGTTGGAAGAATGAGGAGTGCGCAGACACTCAACATGATGAAGGATGTCACTTAGTTGCCGCAAGTCCTGTAACTGAGCAGGCACACTTACACCATCAAGCACCACTACGCGCGTTTCACCAAAGTACACTTCCACACACATGCTGTCTTGAACTATCACCGATGAACGCACAGAGGCACCCCGATCAACAGTCAAATCCAGGAATAGAACCTTTGAGTCCATGCTGACCACAGACCAAAACGGTGAGGTGTTAAAGCTTGGCAGAGCACGAAGAAATTCTGAAAAGCTTGTAACTTTGTTCTGCTTGTCTTGTTGTTGCTTTTCTTCCAGAGATTTTTCAATGGCAATGCGGAGTGATTCGTCCTCAAAACGTTTTCGTTTCTCCTCTGGTGCCTCCCGAGTACACGCATTTTGACGAGAGAGGTATTGAGGACAATTCGGGAACACACTTGGTACCGCATCAGGCTTCAGCCGGAAGACTTTCAGTGGCACTTCAATAGTCTTCCCCGTCTTCACATCAGTGTACTTTGACGTTTTCACGTAGTCGCTGGACACGAAATGCTTCTCGCAGAGCTGAAAAGACAAAAAAAAAAAAGGATTATGTGGGACCACGTTTTATACACTGTCGAAAGCGAGACGGTTCTTTTCGACTTTTGATGAAACCAAAATATGAGCACGTTTCAGGCTCCGACCATTCAGCCAGGCCGATTAGGCTGGTGATCGATACGCTCAGCCGCTAAAACGCGCATTGCGTAAAAGTTTTTTTAGCTTCTCCATGGTGGATGGATGCTATGAGCGTCCCCTGTGTAACGGGGCGGTGACATGTGCGCCACCAGGCTCATAAAAAAAATTAAGAACTTTTCATTTTTTTCCCTCTCTTTAAGTTGTCCTCATGCCTTTTAAATCTACTTCAATTAAATCGATTATGGCAGAAACGTAAATTCACAGCCCAGTCTGCCCCTTATGGGAGAAAGTCGTTATTTTTCCCTATAATTATTATTACGGTATACCTTGGACATCTTGCGACGCTTCGTGCAACCACAATTATAGACACGTTTGTTTGTTTTCGCGTGGTTTCCTTCAGGAAAAAGATATAAAGGTCAGCTCAATCGATAATAGGCGGCCGCCGCGAATTTACCCGTTAGGGAAATGGAATGCAGTAGATTGCTGCAAAAACAATGCTAAGCTTGCCTGGTTCATCTTGACCCCGCTAGATGACCACACATATTTAACATTCCACGTTTAGGGCCATGGTACCCGGTATAACGCTAATGCAAAGCAGTTTGCGGAGACACTCTCTAATGACAAGCACTGTATCGAATTATAAGCCGTATCTTACCACTGTGTTCTTTGTAGGCGCAAAATCCTTTCGGGGAACCGCTCTTGTCCATGCCGCCCGCCGCACCGGGTCGTTTGGAAACACGTGCACGCGCACGTTTGGCTGTCCTGCGTAGTTCGACCTGCAGTTCGGAGCGCTACAGCAGCCGGGCATTTCTGCACTTCGTTCACACGCACAACCACAGCGAGGAATCGGAAATATACATCTTGCAGGAGTAAACAAAGCACATGCACGCGCGCAAGCCAACCAACGACATCCGAATGCAAGCGAGAGGACGACCCCAACTGCTCCAACGAGCAACTTGGATCATTGTGGTCAGCATAGGTGAAACGAAATTCGACGGAGACGCATGGTAATGCGGCTGCTTAATAATGTTTTACCAATTCGGCGTGCCATTTTTTCAGAATACAGTTGGCTAATTGAAACAGAGTAGTTAAATTCTGCAACTTTTGGCAATGTTTGAGCCCGAATCACTGCAAAAACTAAAAAAAGAATGAGTTATTTTGGTTCTAGTCAGTCACTGCGGATGTCACTACGAGCCATCTGTAGCTGTTCTTGTCCGGACTTGTCAGCCTGCTTGTTCACGTGACGCAGACGTTGGCGAGGCTGACTGGGCTGTCGCGCCGTCGGTCCCAGCCAACAGGTGGCGTTGCCCCAGCCATCCGAGCGATGATCTGAGCTTGGTGACGTAGGCGCTTGGGCGAGGAGGCGGCGAGGGGGCCTTTTCTAGGTGGTGTTGGACGAGCGCGCAGCTTGCGGCGCACGCGCGTCAGAGAGCGTAAATAAAACAGCAAATGCGGGGGGAGGGGCCCTGGCCTCTATTTTGCGTTTCGCGCCGCCGTTTTCGCCTTGCGCAACGTGTAAAGTCGGGCACGGTTGTGTCCCAACAGTACGAGCACAGTTCTTGATTTTCTTTTCGACGCACTCGCAGGATCGGGGGATGTGGAGCAGTGCGCGTTGTGAAGGACGCACGAGCACGGACGCGCGCGCAGGGAACGGGCACAGACTTTAGAACTCCACAAGTGACGCCCTGGCTAGGGAACAAAAAAGGGAGTATGTGACACTTCTCGGGAAGCGGGGTTGGCGTTGCCTTAGGTCTACATGACAGTGCGCACAATGCGATACTTGCAGAGAACGCCGACCCCGAGTCTGAAACCGACTCGTTTTGGCACAATCAACCCCGGGGGCTCTAAACCTAAACTTAGGGCTACAATTTTGTGTAAACTTGTTCGCAGGCTTTGCGTAGCCGCTACGAGGTACCGCTGCGAGCGAGGGAATCGCCCAGGTGCGGGCCATGGTTCCTGGCATTTTTTAATTTCGCAAAACACTTGTAAGGCGACGAAACCACAACTGAAGCTCCGTGAGGCGACGTTGCCGTGTCGAACGAAAGAAACGAACGCTACGCAGTCAGCACAGAGACCGCCGCCGCAACAGAAGCTAACCCGTGGTTCACAAAAGCGAGACAGAAGAGAAAAAACAGCGCCGTCCGCAGGGCAGAGGCGTCTCACTCACCAAATCTTAGACGCAGGTTTCAAGTCCCAGATAGATGCGATGATACGGGTAATTTGGAACGTCCACACGGGTCATCCTCAGAGCCACAAGCACCGAAAAATTTTGCACTAGCCGTCGCACACACGCGTTCACTCACACAAGGCCAGACACCATCTTGAAAAACCAGGCCGCGGCGGCGATGCAGGAAGTTACGCAACGCCGGAAGTTCGTTGACGGAAGTTCTGACAGCAAAGCGGAAGCTCGTCATACGCGGGAGGCGCTCGCGTCGGTTTCGAGGCGCGCTCTAAAATGGAACGCTACGCTCCTCGTCTTCAAGCCGGTGAGACTTGCTTTCTGTGGCCCCGTCGTCGATTCTAATCCCACTTCCTCGTGGAACCGCCGCGGCAAGCGTAATTTCCGCGTGCCCAGCGAACAGAAAAAAAGAAGAAGAACGCGGGCAGTGCGAGAGCCTGTCAGGGGCCCCGAAATAGCTCCTTTGCGGGAGTCGGGCAGCCGATCGTGCGCGTTGTTCTCTCTCCTCGAGTGGCTTTCTCCGACACGGCGTGTGTGCGGTAACAAGCACACTATTTTCGGCCCCACTCTTGCCGGGGTCGCTAAGGAAAAACACGCCGCACGCGTAATTTCCAGCACAACTTGTTCTATCCGTAAGCAGCGGGAAGGCGTAATTTGTTGCGTGGCCCGGCGGTTTAATCTCGCGTTACGCGGATACCTTCCTTCCTCGATGCCGCTGACACTGCCCCCGTTCCGCGCGTCGCTCGTGCGTCCCGGAAAGTTGTATACGTGCGCGCCACATGTTGCGGGTGTTTCTGTACCCTGCGGGGGCCCCTATTGGCGATAATCGTTATCCCTGACGATCCGGCGCGCCGAATGTCACGAGGAGTGGAATGCACGCGTCGCTTGATATCGCTTATGTAAACACGACCGATCACCCAGCCACTCCCCTATCGAGGTGCACGATCTACAGCGCAATTCGTTTACACGCTAACTGTCCCTGTAGATGCGTCTCACACGCGGGTGCTCATTTGCTCGTTAAAATGTCTTAGTTTCGTGGAAGGACCGATCAATGGAGCGATTCGTGCGCCCGTTCAGGTTCGAGGGACGCGGCTCTCTTTGTTCGGAAAGTGTCAAACTCGGTGAACAGTGTAGACTTGTGGTTGCACTGTTTGTGGTGGGAAATTATTCAGTCGATTCTCGTAACCTCGTGACTGCGTCTTCGGCCGATAAGAAACCAACGCCTGTGAAATTGGAGCAACCGCTCATTTAGATTACGAATGGGATGCCGCAGTAACGAGTTTCACGTTGTGAGTGTAGTGCAATCAGGGATATTTGCTGTTCGAAAGCAGTGCTTAGAAGCAGAACAGTCGAGCGACCGCATAGGTATTTACAGATGTTTTCAAATTGAGATGACAGGGCATGTTGTTGCTCAATGCCACGTGTGCTGCAGCGTTCATAAAGTGTGGACGGAAGCGTCGAGACATGTGGTCTGCTGCAGTGTCTGGAATACCCGCTGTCACGCGTGCATTTTTTTTTTTGTCGCTATCAGGCTGGAATGTTGTTGTTGCACACCGCCTCACAGCAGTATCAGTTGAAAAGCTCGCCTGCATAATGTATACGCATATGTGTATATGTTTATAGGAACCTTTCGCACACCGTTTTGGGCGTTAAACCCCACATATCAATCAATTAACCTTGCACACCCTGCAGATAGCGTGACTCTTCTGCTCTGCCCACACTTCATTCTTCTTGCAATGCTACAACACACATGGCAGTAAGCAACGCTATGCAACGTCATCCTTATTTGTAAATGTGGATCGACAAAGTGAATGCACCAGCCTTCTAACAGCATTGAATGGCAGCACATCGTACCTTCTTTTTTTTTTTTTTTGTACAGTTGTTCTATGTGTGGTTTTCAAAGAAGTTTGAACAGCTTAGTAGATTTAGATGAACAGCTAGCTGACATCTTTCCAATGTTGTTTTGCAGGCAGCTGTGGAATAGGTGACTTTCCTAGCTTAGCATAGTCATAAAACTTGTAACTGTAAAAGCATTCAGTCTCACTAGATGCCTGTTTTAGTTCAACGTTCAACGTGTCCACATTTTTTCTCACAAGTGGCGGATGTAGTGAGACTTAAGTTCAGATGTTGAGACCGACAATGCAGTTTTATTTGAAACTGTTAGGTTGCATACAGCAGCAACGCCCTTCCTGTGCCTTATGTTTGCTACGTAAGGCTGATGAATGTTGTATTTACTTTGCATTTTAGATAGCGTCACATTCACGTTCATTGTGTCATTGTGCAACTGTACTGTTGAATATGATTCGAATTCTTTTCCTTACACAAAAGAGATTGCGACAACTAGACATTTGAGATTATAAGAAGGTGACATACAGTTCTCATTCTTTTAGTGCCAGCTCTCCATTATTATGAAGGAACAGCTGTTTCCTTAGCAAAGAAAAAATTGCTCGCAATGGATCTAGGTGCTTCCTTGCACAGATGGGAGGGAGACTATCATGACAAAACTCTGTTCTTGCTAGAATTGCGCAGTACTACAGATTCCATAATTAGCACTTAGGAGTTGTCAGAAAGCATAAAAATAGCAGGATGTACACCCTTGCAATTTCATTAATAAGTCAACGCGAGCATTGATCCTTGGAAATAATAGCACTTAATATGGGCAAGTAGTAGTAACCAGCTGACCCACATGGTGCCCAAGCAGAAAGCACACACTCATGTGCGAGTGTTATCTGCTAAGCTGTTGGCTTAGATATGGATACATGATGTTAGCCTTATCTGTGCGGTCGCGTTCAAAAAGCCGGGTGGTGCTCATCATCATATCGCTGTTCTCTGCACATTTCCTTGACGATCATGTGATATTGGCAAGGAATTACAAGGGTTTATGCTGTGTTGCTTCTACTTTGCCCTTGCCTTAGTGCTAGCTGGGCTGGCAGTGCCGGCTTTAGATGCTCATTAGCTTGCACATTTTGCTATTGCATGACTGAAGAGAAGAAAGAAATGCACTTGCTGTTCACCAAGTGCTTAACAACACAGTTACAAAATTATAAATCTATCATGATGTGGTTGTCATCATAACCAGAAATTCCTCGGGTTTCATGCCATGCTGCAAAATAACAGTGAGGCCTGGCCAAATCCGTTTTGCATGTTTTCTCTCCAAGACTGTGTTCTGCTGCTAACAAGGCATCGTACATTAAGTTTACTGTCCTGAAAGTTCATTTTAGGCTGTTGAACTACACAGACAGAGTGGCCATGTACATTGGTGAAGAAACCCTGTTAGTTAGAAGCTAATCTGGAGCTTTCTACTGTGACATTACTCACCTCCCATTTCTCAAGTGAAGGGCACACAGTGATTAAAACAGATAGGGCTTAACAAGTATATACTTTACAGATATACTTCAACTGCATCTTTACTTGTAGTGATCGAAATCGTAGAACAAGGAATGTTGCTCGTGTATTTCGACAAAAGGCCTTGTCATAGCAGTAATTGCTTTCGTTGGCAAAGAGCTTGCTATTTTGGCAGAAACAAGTCTCCTTGTTGAAACCACGATTTGAATGACATTCATAGTTCTTTTAAGTGAGGCTTCTGTAAGTTAGATTTTCGTGGTGATGGCAAAATTTACAGGGGGGGGGGGGGGGGGCAGCGAGTGTTCAAAAATACAGTTGTACACAAATAGGCCCTCCAGGGCGTGTCACTGACATGCATATTTATATGTCTGATAGCTGATGCTCCCTCAATCGTGGACTTGTAGGCGATCATTCCTTTCCTGTATGGAAATCTGGTCTACTAACGAGGGCACTTTCTGTTGCACGTTGCCGCATTTCATTCTTGCCTTTCGTTGCTGCATTTTGTCATTTCATGCGTGATCGTCTTATGTTGCTTCCAGAGGCATAAGCGTTGTGTTGCCAGGCACGTGGTTGAAGGTCCAGTTCCAAGCATGACGGAGAGAAGAAGTTAAGAGTGAGCATTGCATAATACGATAGAAAGAAACAAGAATGTCAGTAAGTTTTCACTTGTCCCCATTTTCTGGACAATGGACAGGCACCTACACTTTGTAACTTATCATTTTAAGCATCCAACCCCCAATGAGCTTCTCTTATATATTTGCTTGTGATACCTTCTTGAGGGCATAATTTCTGCCACTAAACTACACCATCTGATGATATTTTACGTATTATTATGGCCCACACAGAAACTGTACTGTTGAAACAGTGCACACATTCAGGAGAAATGAGAAAACTTCTATCAAAACCTTACTTTAAGAAAACCCCACGTTTCAAAGTCCGATCGGCTTCTTTCTCAAGGATGAGAAGGCCTGAGAGGTGCATCGCTTATATAGGTTGCTTGCCGTGCATGAGAGGCTCGCCGTGACCTTTTGCAAGCCTTGGCTGTAGGGAGCGTGGTTGATGCAGACAGCGGGAAACATCAACTGCTCCATGGGGTCATTGCCCTCCCTCTAATGCCAGGGCTTGCAACAAGTCACAGCGAGCCTCTTACACATTGCAATCAGTCGTAATAAGCACCACACATCTTGGGCCTTCTCACCTCTGAGCAAGAAGCCTAGCCGGCTTCGAAATGTCGGGTTTTTCTTTATATGTTTTGGTTGGAGTTTTCTCATTCCTTCAGTTTCTATTCCAACTAGGCTGACTTCAGCCAAATGTTCACCTTTGTGCACGCATTCATCTTTCATTGTATTCTTTGACTGCAGGAGCTGATCAGCGGGACATGAACGGTCATGGTGAAGTTTGTCAGACCCACCATCAAGCGTCGCTACGTCTTTGCCGCGCTCTTCGTCTATGGCGTGGTCTATATGCTGGCCCAGCTGCTATCACCTCGCGAAGTTGACGGCGACGCCAGGCGCAAGACCCATGTTTCCTCCGCTGCCCCGAACGTCACTTCCAGAACGTCAAGGCCTGCGGTGCCTGCGCCAGCGCGGGTGCACTTACCTGAACAACGAGTTCGCGGGGTGTCGCCTGATGAAGTCAAGCACTACGCACCGGGAAAGACCTTCAAGTGCCTACACAGTTCGGGTGTAATTAGTTATGACCAAGTCAACGATGATTACTGTGACTGCAAGGATGGCTCGGACGAACCGGGCACGAGTGCTTGCCTTAACGGAAGGTGAGAAAGACTTAGGCAGGCATCGAAGCGGGGTGTTTCTTGTTGCTGCACTGAGGATGTGAAGTAATCATATGCTCTGTGTCTGTTCAGCTGTGGAAGGGTTCTAAGTTCACTGATTACTATGTGCTGCTTGGGCTTAGTGGCTATTTGTTGTAGTGCTAAGAATGAAGACATGGGTTTACTTGCTGTCTTTGCCAGTTGAATTTCAGGGGGGTCAAATTACTGAAAAATTACCAATGACCATAATAATCCGTGCTACTAAATTTGAGTGCAGAAGTTCTTGCCTTTATTTCGGAATATATTCAGGCTTCCAGGTCTTAGCAGTGATGGTTCCAAGCTTGTGCTCTGGTAGCATACGCTTCTTGACTGTGACATTACTGGTGCTGTGCCTTTGCTGGGCAGCTCGTTTAGCAGCTCCAGAAGATTAAACACTTCTATTGGTTGCGTTGCTGATTGATAAGAAAGAACAGGCATAAACCTGTAAGTACAGTCGCAATGTACTCACTATTCTATAACTTACCATTTTGTGAAGCAGCAAATTACCCACTATACTTCTGTAAGGAGATATGCATACCTACATAGCTGTACACATTGTTGATGTGGCTGATGATGATGTTGAAGTGTGATGATGCTTGGCCGAAGAGTGCCGTGAAAAAAAAAAAAAAAAGATGAAAGAGTGGCAATGATTTGTGATTTAAGTATGGCTTAGCCCTGTCCTGTGCATAGGTGTCTGCAATGTTCTCTACTAGGGGGCTAGAGTTTCATCAAAGTTAGCATACAAGCAATGTCCTGACTTAACTTTAATTGTATTGCTAAAGGCACCATTATTTGCTTTCTGCGGCAGCAATTCTTAAATTTCTGTTGTTTCAGCTGTATGTGACATTCATTGCCTCAGAGGTTAATACACTTTGCTGTTATGCTCACTAGTGAAGGTAGACAGTGACAAAAACATGACCACACTTGGTTGTTGATTCTGTAAATGTGACAACGTGATGGCAACACAATAATGATGATGGTATGACAGGAATTGCATAATAGAGCTAAAGTGATGACAGCAAAATTACAATGCAGTGTTGAAAGAGAAATGATGTCAATTGAATGTTGAAGGTGGTGTGATGAAAGTATAACAGTGAGTGCATGATTACACTGGGGCAATTGATTGAATGGTTGAATAACACCATTGTTACTATGTTGGAACCATGTCGATAGATCAACAACAGGCCTACTATAATACAATGAAAATGATAGCACGACGATGTTGAGAGTATGATTACAGTATAACAACTACAGGATTACAATAATGTCATAGGAGTATAATGACAACATCGTTACAAAAATTTTGCAGGAAGTGCTTAGCAAAGATTGTGTAACGCAGCATCGATGATGACTGCACGGCCATGAATGAATGACGACAGCTTGAACACAGTTGCATAAGTTTTATTTTAAATTGTAGAGCAATGTAATGAGGCTAGGTATGTAGATACAAGATGGCTAAAACAGGCTATTACTGCTAATTGCACTAAAGGTGCGTGTGCATTGATCCAGTTACTCTTGGGACAACACTGCTGTCTCGGCAGTAGCTGCCTATAGATGCACCCAACAAAAGGACGGTTCTGTTTATCCCATCTCTGGGCTGCATACCTGCACCCAAGCTATTAACACGTTGCATGCGAAATCAATGAACAACATTATTTGCCCTTGTTAATGGCAAGGGGGCAATAGGACAGAGGGTAGTGGGGAGTAACTACTTTAAGTAGTCTTCCTCTACATCTCAGCCTTCTCCAGGATGGCTTCCTGAATGTCAGACCCCGAACTGCACTAGGCAGCCTCCCTCTATTCCTCACTATAAATTAGGCATTTCAGGAAAGGAGGGAGAGGGTGGTCAGAGCAGCACCACATGGTATGATTTAAGTATGCTGTGGAAGAGGTGCAGAATTTACAAGAGGGAAACTGGTAACAGGACGGATGAATTGGATGTAGGAAAATAAGGGGAAAGAAAAGTGCAAGTCTGCAGCTGTCACCACAGACTTTCGCACCTTAGCGGGAATTTGCGCATGAGTGGCGGAAAGGTTAAGCAGTCTAGTCGGTAGTGTGTACAAATTTCATGGAATGAAATAAGCTGATCCTGCGTCGTAATTGGCACCTCCTTTGTAGTGAGTTGCGACACATCAGATGCTTGTGCTGCCCGGACTGTGAATCCCTGGGCACTAGCATGAGCTGCCTCATTTCTGGCAAGGCCCGCATGTACAGTAGTCCAGATTAGTGCTACTAGTTGATCAAGGGGAAGGGCCATGAACCCTTCTCAATGGAACACTAGACATCCTGTATATAGAGTCAAAATGGCTGATTCGGCGAGTTGGTGATTTATGATTGTTTGAAATACGAGCACGCAACAAAGACAAAAACTAATGTAGAACGTAACGTAGAAGTCCTTGTCTGTGTTACACGCTCGTATTTCAACGAATCATATATATAATACGTACACCTCTACATACAGGATGACTAGCTGAGGTGGTCTGATGAAGTTCAAAGAAAACTTGAAGGCAGAAGGCGAGGTCAGCTGGTGCATGTCTTATCAGAGGGTCCTGCAAGTGAATGTAAAATGAGCAGATGATCATTGTCAGTCACTGCTGAACCTTTGCTTCAACCATGAAAGAATTATAAAGGTACTCGTTGTAGAAATGCATGTAATAAATCTGTAAGGAACAATTTAAAATGGTTTATTGTCTGATGCAGTCAGGGCTACACTTGTTTCTATGATGTCTTGAGGCATCCTAGAGCTTTTCACAGGTGGTGATAGCTGTGACACATCACAGCCTGTAGGTAGGCATTAGTCTGTAGAAGGGCCCCTGAACCTCTCAAGATACGAAGAAAGAGCGCTTTATTCTGTCTTGGCATTTCCCATCTTCACAGTGTGACATGTGACGCCAGCAGTTCACGCGATGTCAGAACAAAATAAGCCCTCAATAGGATGATATACGAGTGGTGTTGGTTGTGAATCCTCTCATACCCTACTTTGCCATGCCTGTATGCCTGTTCTGCTTTGTCTTGCTGACTGTCATGCATGATACGCTGATTTCACTTTGTTTTCTGCATTGCGACTGTGGAAGCGTAGGTAGCAGCGTGTAGTCAAGAAGTGAGAAATGAAGATCCAGAGTGGCTTAACGTTTAGTGCTAACACTCTGCATGTTTTATGAAACAAGTAAAGAGGAGGAGAGATTGCTTGTAGGAAGAGTAGCAAAGGGGAGAAAGAAACTGCTTTCTTGCCTTTAAACTCGGTGTGGTTTGGCGGCCCTTTAAGGTTTCTTGCTTGTGAAGCATGCTTAGAAAATTGCTCCCAGAGGATCGAAAAACAATGCTCGGAGATGCACCTCAGAAAATACGGACTGCCACTGAAAGATGTATAATCTACGTGCAGGTTCTACTGTAAGCGGCACAGTGCACACAGTCCCAAGTACGTTCTCTCCATGCGTGTCAACGACGGCATCTGTGATTGCTGTGACGGCAGTGACGAGTGGAATGGTGCCATTCTCCCGTCCAGCTTACTGCTGTCTGGTATGGCCTCATTTTTCAGTGATGATTGTGGAATGTCTTCTTTCACTAAATGTGCACTGCAACAAAAATACAAAGGTACTTCTCCTATGATTTTGCCACCATCTTTTAGCTGACATTTCAGCTAAAATTTCCTACAATTCCTCTTTCTACAAGGTTATTTATGAGAGCAAAAATATGGAATAAACTGTCGAACACTTTTAAGCGAACAGCCTCTTTTACAGTTAATGTAAAGCGACAGTGACGTCTTTGTATTCATGGTTTTAGCATTGAAAGCACCGGTGGAGTATTGGGAATAAATAAGCAGATTTTTCACGGTCACAGAACTCTTTACAGAGAGTAAAGGCTCCTCGTATGGCAAGTAATGCTTCACTCCCTGAAGCATGTGGTATGCCGCCATAAGTTTTAGTGTTTTATGGCTGCGCTGCACTGGCAGATATCAAATTTGTATTAACATTGCATCTGTGTTGTGTATTTGTGGGCAATTGACATTTTGAACTATTCATAACCTATTAGATTAAGTATACCTATTTTAAGACAGTAGCAGCATTGGGGTCGCGACGGCGTTTATTAGGCCGAATCAACTGATCAACGCTTCGAACGAAGACGACGTTTTTCGTGATGACGATTATATACAGATGAAGATGAAGGTCAAATGCTGTGAATATTGTGCTTACACTATTTACAAATAGGAGCTGTTAATTCTGGATTTGACATGTTTGAGCATTTACACAACCTTACCATGTTGCCGATCTTATTAGTAGCCTGGTTTCAGGTGTACAAGTCGAATCTTTGTGCAAGACAAACCACATACTTTTTACTACTTTTGTGGGTGAAAAAAAAAGGATATATAAAATGCACTTCTGTATAAAACACACTGACATTAACTCTGTCGCAATCATAAACCAAGATGACGCTCGCAGAGTATGTTCATTGTGAAATGCATAGTCATGCACGGCCTTGAATATCTGTAAGCAGCAGTATAAAATGTGTAAGTAGCGCTGTTCTGAGGAGCAGAAAACCAATATTTATTCCACTGGATTCATAGCCACATTTTCCAGCATGCTGTCAAAAGTTTTTGTGCCTCAGTTGGCAGCATCGCAGGGTAGCCGTTGTTGGCCTCTGAGTAGCTCATTCACATAGCATTGTAAGAACCTTGGAGCACATCATTGTCATTGCCTCTACAGCATTATGAGGCTTGGTGGGAACACATAAACAACGATTGATGCGCTTGTTTGATACCTACACACGCATACAAAACGTAAAAGGTGACCGGAAGCTGCAACTACTGCAGGACTGGATCAAATGTCACGTGAAAACTGATGATAATAATTATGAAGTGACACCTTCATTTTCGTAACTGGCAGTACAGGCTCAAAAATGTTACTACAAAACATTGTGGTATTGTATGGTATGGTATAAATAACTTTATTCTGGTCGTGAGGTCAGTCCAAGACTGATGCTGGCTGCTCTTATGTTGGGACAGAGGCCAAGCTCTTCTGCTGCCACACGGGCCCTCTGGATAGCCCTGAGTTGGTCCGCCAGCGCATCACTGTGCAGCATTCGCTGCCACCACTGTTAACCGTGAGAAGCATCACTGGCCAACGCCGAGCAGCACTAGAGCATGTGGTGTCCTTCTTTTATTTGTTGGATCAGTTTCGTGGGCCTAACGATTCGATTAAGAACCAACCATTCGAACAGTACAATAGTTCGCGTAAGAATGGTGGCTTTTATTGTGGCCATAATCCCCATTGTCACCGCTCTGCTTGAACAGCATGTGGCTGACATCTAGGACCACACCTGCTTCATTGTTATGAACATATCTTTATTGATGCTCTCGCACTCAGTTTATTGTACTCACAAATGAAATATCGGCATATTGGTTTGGCTAAATCGAATAAATTTTTGTGTATACATATAAGATGCACTTGTGTTTAACATGCATCAGCGAAAATATCGGAAACATCGTACCCTCAAGAAAATGCTGTACTTTGTCCGAAGACAGCAGCCTGTTTAGCTTTGCCCTATCAAGCCACTGCATCACCTATGTCGCTGCTCCAATCAATCACTATGTATATAAGTATTTGTAGCATTTGTGTATCTTTATTTGCTCCAGCCAGTTAGCATCCAAACCTATAGGCCCAATCAGCTGGAGTTTTTGAACAGACTGGCAATTCAGTACAGGCAGCCTCAGTTTAACGAAATTGAAGGAGCACCACGATTTGCTTGTTATAACCAATATTTTTTTTAGAGTCGCAATGAGCATTTTCTGCAAATATCATGCACTCTTATTACCCGAAACAAATAGTGGGCTCTCTTTCTTTCTCTCCTGCCCTTGCATCCTTCCTCATAGAAAATACAGTGCTTTGTCATTTGCATTCAAGGTCTGTCCATGCACTTCTTTTTGCACCATCTTAGATATGAAATACACATTATAAACTTGTGTGGCAGCACGACTAGCAGACCTGAGCAAGGTTTTAAGGAGGGAAGCCTCTTCAAACAGATTGCATGTGACCGCAGTGAAGCAAAACTTCTAGATCACTGCATTAAGTTTATTTGCTTTCAGTGTTGCAATTGAAATGATGTTTGCAAAGTTGCACTGCAACGCTGACCATGTGATACAACGGCAGCTCTATTCAGCTTCTCCAGCTAAATTCATTAGAATTTGCAATCATGTTAGTCAACTCGAATGGTGGCCTGTATGCATGAGGTTTTTAATCTAGTTTCAAGGAGTTCTTTTTTTTTTTTAACTTTACCATAGTACTGTATAGAGTAGTTAGTAGTTGTACTGCATTACTACAATAGTACGATTACTGTAAGAACCCAATGTGTGGAATGTGCACATTTACATAACTGACACAGCAGCCCGAAAAGGCTACAGAAGCTGTGCAAGAAATGAAGCTCGTTTTACAGTGAAAGCTGTCACAAGATCACAATTCAAGTCATGCGCAGTTGTCCGCCGCCGTTGTCTGTAACCACATCGTGCGAAGTTAGAAAAAAATCCTAGCACCAAAGACGCAGTGGAGCTCGAAACCCGGGTCTGCTGGGCGCCAGCCCAGTATTCCACCACTGAGCTACACCGGGGCTAGTGACTTTTTGGCAAACTTGCCTCGGGCAGGCTTGATGTCGGGAAAACAATCGCGTTAATACGACTTATAAAGTGTTTTTTAAAACAGCAAAAGAACAACTAGTTGTCGCAAAATGTGAATAGGGTAACGAGTGAGCCGACCAATGCTCCAACTCATTACAAAAGTTTGTTCTTGTACCCCTATTAACTGTGGTGCATACCACTTCAGCCATAATTCCTCATCATCGTCAGCCACTGCATGAACAATCGGCACAAAATTTCTTGCAAGTGTTTTGTGGATACCACGCTTCTCTAAAGAATGACAAAAAATAGCATAGCGAATGCCAGCCTACTACCCAAAAGTTTATTATTGATGCCCTCGTGGGTATCAAGCAAGTGTGCTTGCAGTAGTTGCCCAATGAGAGTTTCAAAAGGCTCTGAAAGGCCGCTCTTCTAGCTTTCGCTGTCACTGTGCTGCGCCCTCTGCACAGGCCTGGCATTTTTTCAGCTTGTCTTACGGCAACATAAAAAGCCTAAAGAAACCTAGGAGCATCGTGGCTGAAGATCAGCCATTGCATTCACATGGACGCGCAGTAAGTTGTGAACTTCGTTTTGTCTCGTTGCAGACGAGCAGCAAAGTCGAGCAGGAGTGTTCCAAGCACCGTGCAAGTTGCGTTGCTGATTGTTACCGAGGCCCACTACGAATTCCAGCCTTCCGTTGTCTTCCGACAACATTGCCGTTTTACTACGCGGTCGTTGCACCGAGGGTCATATTCCACAGCCTGCAAGCTAGTCGATAGTGTGTGTGTGTGTGTGTGTATGTGTGTGTATCACGTTTGAAAAGCAAGCGCAATACTTTATGCACATGCATTAAGAAAGGGACAACATGCATTGGTAAAGCTTCTTCCATAATTTCCAGGGAAAGAGATATTGGTCAGTTTGCCTAGCAACTGCCAGAAGCTTTCTTCTTAGGTTCTTTTGCAAGATTGGCAGCTGAAGTACTCAGCAGGGAGCCCACAATTCACCCAGCAGGCTTAAGTGAAGTACAGGCCAATTCAGAGTAATCAGTGATGCATTCAAAGTAAGGTGTAAATTGACCTAAGCGGGAGTAGAGCTGTAGTCTAGCTCTTAATCTAGTCACACGCAATCGTTACAACCGTGTTGCATCACCAGCCTATACTACTGGTAATCACAGCTATGGCAGGTTTGATAGAATAAGACAACGAACAGTGATAAGTGGCCGCTAACAGAAGAGGGGAATTTCTCTTTAAAAATATTGGTTAAGCCTACCTCATTTGCTTGGTATGTCATGGGGCCAAGGCAGATGTCCCTTCCAAGCGAACTGGTCGCACCCAGGAGAGCGTGTCTATCCTGGGGCCACTCTCCTATGCTTTTTACTTTTGCCAGGGGTTGTCCTTCCTCGCAGAGACACGAATGCCTTTTGTCTCCCCTGAAATTTGAATGGAGGAGTGCGAGTTTTGCTGCGTGACGAGAGCACCAGTCCAGACTAGGAAAATGGTGAAAGTGCTTCTTTTCTTATACCAGCAACAGAATAAAGCCACAGTACATAGTATACATACGAACGTGTTAATGTGAAGGGAAGGAAATGGTCGTGCATACCTCCCCCACCCATCCAGAGCAGTTGATGTCTATAGACACATGCCAGGTGCTTAGAAATTTACGCATCCGTACGGCCCCTCAGTTTCATTATCGCATTTTTTTTGCCTGCTAGTAAGATGTTTTGCTTGCATATTGCAGTCTTGTTGGTCTAGTGTAAGTATCTTGAGTACTTAAGCTTCATTCTCATGCTTTGCTGGCACTTGGCATTGATTCAGTGCTTAGTCCTCGCTAGTGCATCGTGTCACCTTGTTTTTGCATGTGCTGAATCACTCAGAAGTGAATGCAAATTGTTTGTTTGCTAAACCTTTATATATGTTTGAATGAAAAAGCAGTGCGAAGTTTACCCTGCGTAACGATGGCTTCACTTTCTGCTTTATTTTTTTTTTCTAAGTGGCCACATGCTTCCTGAACAGTTTAATTTGAAACAACGCTTCCATCGGCTCATTATAGTCCAGCAAAGAGACTTCATTCAGGAGCAGATGGTGGCGCACTTCAGGAGTTTGTCACTGCCGACAGGTTACTGACCTTGTCGTCAAGTGCCTTTCTGAAATCAATTAGCGAAGAGATGGCAAAAACGTCTCAGGTTCAGCTTATTGTCGGCAAATGTAAGGATCTTACCGGAATTTTAATCTGTCTATCTTGTTCTTTTGATATTGCTGATCGAATATCTACTTTGGTTTCATGGACAGTGTTCATTTTATGTAAGGGCCACCTACAGGACAGCCAGCCGACAGACAAAAAAAGCGCGCCCGCTTTTGGCAGCATCCCTCTTTTAGAGACTTGAGTGGAAGCACAATCAAGCAGGGCTTCTTCAAAGGCCATGACTCTTTGTTTTGTTTGCCAACTGATGACACGAAAAGTGCACCCGCTTTCTTTATCTGTCGGCATATCTGTCGATAGTGCTGTAGGCAGCCATGACAGAACGCAAGCCATGCGCTCGCGTGTTCTTTTTTTATAAAAAAATGACAGTGTACATTGGATGATGATTCCTGAAGTGGGCTTTCCTGAAAGTGAGGCCAGAGTTGATAGGGGCACTCAGAAACACAAATAGATTCATGTGCGATAGATAGCTCAATTAGATAGAGAGGAAAAAGCAGCTATCTTGCAAGAAAGAAGAAATATAACCCTTTCTTCTTGTGTGTAACCCACAAGCTCATGTAATCACTGCTTTCATGTGCTGTTGATTGTTCTGTACACTTGACGGACAGAAAAGAATGTTCACAAAATCTGACCCTTGTCACTTCTGACAGCACTCATTCCTAAATTCTCAATTTAGCTGACATTCTTCGCATCATGTGTGTTTTGCGCGGGTGGCATAATATACCTGGACATGTACTTAGTAGACCTCTGTTTTACGACAAAGGGAAGCCCATGCATGAATGCATGAGAAGCTGCAAACGCAACTGAAGAGGTTTTTGCTCCTAGTGTGGTGAATGCTGCCGTGCTTGACAATGAAAGTGGTGAAACTGTGCACTTAACGTGTTAGTAATAGTTACACTAGTTACACAGTATGTCCTCTTCTTGCTCAAAGAGAGATATGCTCATAAAATATAGAAAATATTTGTCTGTCTGTGTATATAGATCACCACATTCTCTTTAAATGATGGCCATATCCAGTGTTTCAGAGTAAAAGGTTCCTGAAACGTCACTAGAACTGTAGCAATGAAATAAAATTAAAATAGTGAGGCAGTCTATCGGGCATCAGACTGTTGGAAAGCACCACCAAACTCATGATTTAGCATTTGTATCTTGAAGCTTGCTCTACTTGTACGGACTGTTGTGAGTTGGGCTTGTAACTCTGTCTTTGGTGTCTCAGCAATGCATTCCAGGCAGCATTTTCAGGCAGCATTTTCTACAATGTCTAAGAGTGGCTGGGATTTTGGCTGTCATGACTACTTTTCTCGTGTGGTTACAGTTTTCGTGGATGCAGTTGCTGTGGCTGCTGCTGTCATAGCTACTTGCTTTCATGGTCTAATGCTGTGCTTTTGTATGTCTTGCCTATTACTCTATCACGGAAAATGCAGCGTGGTACTATTGAAAAATTATACTTCTTGCCTTGTAATAGCACTGCATGAAAAATGCACAATGTGGACCAAATAGATGGTGCATCAAATAGACAAGGTATTATATGCCTGTGGGGCAGTCGAGCTTTAAGACTTCAAACTTGTATGATTCGTACATGAGCAGCCACACGTTTAAACACGCATTGTTCAACGAGACAAGCGTATTGCAATGACGACGTGCTTCCTTTTGTATGGATTTTGTCTGTGTGTGGTCATGTCTCTCAACGGCCAGTTTTGCTAATTGTTACATTGTCCTAGCTACATGACTCTGGGCACGTTACTCATTTTGGGATTTTGTCATTATCTTTTCATTATTTGGGGTCTGACAAGCTCCATAGCTAAAGGTACGGGTCTCGATTTGTATGCTATAGACATCAAAATGCTGTTTTACTTTGTTTGCTCGTAGAGCTCAGTATTATTATCGGTTGCACATTTTGGCTCTTTTTAAATGTCTGCATTTCATACTTACTGGTTCGGTGAAAAGATTTCAGTACCTGTGATTCTACATAATGACGCCAGTTCCGCAAGCAGCGTGTGGATCACTTCCGATAGCATCACTAAATCTTGTGTTGGTATTGATTGAATTTGTTTGCACGGTGAATGCCTGAAAATAGACACCTTTCTGTCTTGGAGAGCGACTTGTGCTTTTTTTTCCTACACACTAATCTTAGAGACAGATGAAGTCCCTAAGGTATTGCCATTGACAGGATATTGCTAGCTGAAAAAAATTCAGTCTAAGTTTTTTGTTACATATAGTTATTTCCTTTTACTGATTAGCTACTCTGTCACTAGAATCAGTTGTGAGAAACTTGCCCTTGCAATAAATACCCAGTGTATCATTATATTTCGTGCTGCTTCAATAATTCAGAATTGATTTCTGATTTAAGTATAGAAAATTTAACCTAGCATTTAAGTTAACTTTCTTGGCACACTTCTAATAACATCTCCTACACTTTCCTTGGCATAATTGTCTGCAAATTCTCCTTAATACTGTGTAACAAAGCAAATGCGCCCTTAAATTTACCCTTCTTTCCTTCATTCGTAGCGAGAGTCTCGTTCTGGCAGGCTTACCACCTTCAAGTGGTATGCGAGGAATTATTGATTAGCTGCCAGCTCGTAATAAGACCAAGGTCACGCGATGCCAACTGGCAAATAATGAGTATCCCATGTTCTCCTCAATGGCTACAGGCGGCGCTGACTGACACTTCCACGTTTAAATCCACATACATACCCCATAAAATGGTTGGGAGGATAGCCGCCATGGTAGCTCAGTTGGTAGAGCATCAAATGCTTTATTCGAAGGTCGCAGGTTTGGTGCCTGCCCACGGCAAATTATCCTTTCGTCCACTTTTCTTTCTTCACAATTGCAATTGCTTCTTATAACATCCCCTATACTTTCGTTGGCATAATTGTGTGTCAATTCTCATTAATATTGTGTTCGACACGCTGAAGTGAGCTCTGGTTATGTAGTACCTATTGAAAGCGTTGTTAAGTTGCTACGCCAATTTGATCACAACTAAACATCACGGCACATTTTCGTCTTGGAAAGAGCTTGTCACAGGCACAGTTGAAGATGTCATTTTTCCTGAAGGGCCCAAGACAAGGAGGAGTGTGCAACAGATTTTTATGGCTTTCTTGTGAGACACTGGGCTGTGTGAAATATGGTGACGGACCGCTCTTATTCAGATGTTCGGGCGGAATGATTGCCGGCCATTTAAGCCAGGCTGATTCCGCCTGTTGCAACACCACAACTACTTTTTTGTGTAACTATACTTTCATGATGAGGCAGAGTGAATAAGGTGTTCCAATTTTACTTAATGTGGAATTATGTTTACCAAAATGCAAAGCTAGAACAATCAGCCCAAATAACTTTTTTTTGAAAGGTACAAAAAGGAGAAAAAGGAAGTGGCAGAATAACGAACAAATCTGGACATTTATCCCATTTTGTTTGTTTTTGACGCCTATGTTAGAGCTGGTAAGCCGGTTTTCCAGTTCACAGAACCAGCGTACAACGAGCTTGAAACCAGCTTACAATGACATAAGCTGGTTTCAAGTAGTGGAGAGCCTAGCATCATCTCTGTTGGACAGCGAAGTTGTGTGTGAATGAGAAGCCAAGCGATGCAATACTTAGCATCAAAAGGCTCACTATTTTCCCTCTTACTGCTTCAATGGTTAAGCATCTTGCGAGCAAAATAGTTTTATTCTTTTTGTCCCACCATAGTGATGTTAAGTAAAGACAGTAAATTGCAAACTGACACTAGCAGTTCAAATCACCCGTAACTGTTGTAGCTACTTTTTTTTTTCTAGTCTTCGTTAGTACATACCTCTATTCAGAATCGGCATTTGGGAAGTGATAGATTTCAGATGCGTACTAAGAAAAAACACTCTTTACTACACGAAGTTTCTGGCAGCATGCATTTAGTTACTCGCCTACACACTGTTCTGAAATGGAAAGGTCGATGTGAGCGCTGGAAGTCAATAGGCATGAAAAGGATGCACTTTTTATTTGCACATAAAATGAGCTTCAGCCACTCAGATGTGTATAAAACATTTCCTAATGTTTGGCAAGCAAGTCACTGTCATAGAAATACGAAAACAGAACCAGTGCTGTGCACTACAGAGAAAAGTGAGGCAAATTGGGCTTGACGCACTCCTTGGTGTTGTATGTTGGTGGTGTATTAACTGACTTTGTTCACTGAGCTTTCATAAAATGCCTTCATCTCTGTTGCCCATCAATTCGGAATGTCATAAAGGGGGCCAGTTGGTGGCTCTGCATACTGTTATTGCACTAACATAATTTTGTTCACTGAGCTTTCATAAAATGCCTTCATCTCTGTTGCCCATCAATTCGGAATGTCATAAAGGGGGCCAGTTGGTGGCTCTGCATACTGTTATTACACTAACATAATTTTGGCAAGAAAAATGAGCAACGCATAGTATTCGTCTGTGCACATCATCTGTGTATACGTACGTGTCTTTTGTGAATTATCACTCCTTGCATTGGGGATTTTGTGTTAATTCAGTAACAAAGTAAGTATGTTCTATTTATAACATCCATTTGAATTCCAGTGTCTACTTATGTGGACAAAATACGTCCGCAAAAAGTGATCACACAAGCCAATGCATCGCTTTAAAGTTGATTTGAAATGGCATAACTCCAGCACGGCCAAGTCTTCAAATCAATTTTATGGAAAGGCAATTAATTGGCTAGATCTCAGAGATAGCATTCTGCACAGCAACGTCGAGATTAAACTTTGCGTTGCAGGGTACAGAAAAACTGATCATGCATTCTAAGAAAGGGCAGCAGACGACAGTCTGAGAGTTGAAAGAAAAGGAAACAGTAATGCAGAAAAAAAAAAGGGAAATTGTGTGTCTAGAGCAAAGTAAGGGAACAGGGAAACTTCAACGGTGGCATGGGAGGGCATTGAGTGAAACCGCAAGGCACCGCTGGGGAGGAGGGAAATTTCAGAAGTGGCTCCCGCAGGATGCTCCAGACATGGTGGCACCACGCTCAAAGCGCACTCGCACACTCCAAGCATGGGCTCGGAGCTTCATTTCATATATTGGTCCAAATAAGAATCAAATTCACTTATTTTTGATAGACCCAAGTACCATCCTTGAGTTACTGTGAAGGGAAAACGACACAAAAATTTGTACTTACTGTACAGTTCAACAGCATTTCTTTGGTTCCCGACCATACTACAGCAGCAACGTGTATACACAGGCTATCCCACTCGATATTTCATTATGTACTATAGCGATCTGCATATTGATAGTAGCAGGGTTGGCAAGTGGAGTAGCCAGCCTCTTGAGCAAGAGTAACGATGTTTCTCAATGCGCAAAAGCTAAGTATGGTCGTCTGCGACATCCACGAAATTGTTGATGACAGAATGACATACACCATTCAGTGATTCTTGAACATGGTGCTAATGTGTCCCCTCTATTTGATGACACGCCATGTGCATAGGTGTGTGTAGGGCTCCCCATCAAAAAGAGGGAGGGGATGCCAAGTACCATAAATATCGCACCTCCTCCCTTGGCAGAGTCCAACGCACGTATATCCCACATCGATTTACAATTGATACAAAAATACAAATGAAACAATAGCAAGCTTCTTACAATTAATGACCCATTTTTGATCCATGGATGTTCGGGAGTAAATATGGGATGCAGTTCTTTCAATCCAACGTGTGATACTGAAGCTGAGGGCGGCCACTCCCCTCGTGCGCATGCCTATGGCTCTAGGCTGCTAAGAAGCGCCACTAACACGTCTGTATCCCAACCATTTTGGTTACTAGAGAGCTTTTGGGATGGTCAATGGCTGCCAAGGTTTACTTGCGATGGCAACAAAGATATGCAAAGTGCATAAGTTCAGTGTTGAAGCACAGTAAGGGTAGGTTAAGGGTCAAACAGTCCCTGCAATACTTTTCCAAGTAGTCGTTGGATGTATCGGAGTCTATTGCCTCATGAATCGACCGGCACAAGTATTTTTTTAATCCAATAAGTACAATCGAAGTTGGAGAGATTTCTCACACACTGAATTTGCTTCCCCTCTTCTCCTGACAAGTGCTCTAGAAGCTAAGCATGGAGGCACGGCACGGGGGAAAGAAGTTATGTCACGCGCGTGTCATCAATTTGGGTGCTTCTACTTTTTCTTCAAATGTGCGGCTTACTTTCACTGTTATCACGACCATAGACATGCACGGGCACATGGCGACCTCCTGTGGCGGCCGCAGTAATTACGCAGCTCGCAATGCTCAAATTAGCCAATGGCCATGAATTTCAGTATAGGCATCATTGTAGGAGTAGAGAATGATTTCTAATTTACTTAAAGAATTAACTGTGAATTCCAGGCTGCATTCTGCGCTATAATCTTGGGCTCGCGTCTTGTAACACCTGGACCACCGGCCTTGACTAACGATCAACAGTGTTTTCTGAACATGTTGGAATAGTGCTGTAGGATCCCTTCAAAGATGACTTGGGACAATTGTATTAGCTTGTTTATGTGCATACAGAGGTGAGAAAGTGGTCACATTTGAATAATTTGGAAAATGTTTTATTATACATAACAATAATTTCACCTCTATAAGCAAAACACTGCCCCACATTCATTTCACTCTTTCTAAGCATCCCAATCAATAGCAACAATGAGGAGACGAAAGTTATCTTATACCTCAGCACAGAGGCAGCAAGTTTGTTAAAACAACACTCAGATTTTCAAGTGCTCCAGTAGCGCTCATTTTCAGATGTACGGCACTCGAAACAATGCGTCAGGAGAAGTGAATAATTTCCAACAGCAGCGTTTTTCTGACACTGTGTGATCAAGCTTCCCAGTGAAGCTACAGAGAGACAAGGAAACTCAAAAGTCTGCCAGGCGGAGGCAAGTTGCACCCGACCCTTGGTTGGTGGAGGAATAAAAGCAGATTTTACCCCTCTCTCTCTCTTACACACTCCAGAACCACTGCAGCACATCAGAAATTTAAAACGTACAATTTTCAAGCACAGGAGCCTGCTCAATGGGCAAGCTGAATTCTTATGAGACGCATGCACATCGACTGTACCACAAACATTGGCTTTCTGGAGTGAGATTTTGGCTTTGTCTAGCAAATGATTGCCGAATTTGGGCTTTTTAACATCACCTAGTGACGACTTAAACTAATGCTTCATAATGTTGTGTAAAACATGGTCACTTCAGTAGATTTGCAGGAAAGTGTGGGTGCTTTGGGCTTTCGTGCAAGAATGTGCGTGTCGGCCTTGAAAAGTTGCATGAGGAAGGTGCCAAGAAGCATGTGACATCACGACCTTTCTTCCAACAGTATTCATTGTTATGTGAATGACGTTCACATTCGGCGAAGAAAGCCAGTATGTACACGCACTCACGAGCAAACTCTGCAAATAAACATGGTGCATCCAACAAAGCAGGAGTATCAGAGCCCGAATAACATGAGAAAAAAGCACCGGGACACAGTATGATAATGCATACAGAACTAACGCAAGATCGCTCATACCGACAAGAAAGTCTGACAAGCTTTCAAATCATTCCAGCAGGGGAATAACTATAGAAAACTTCTGAATGTTGCGTCTAAAAAGCTCATTCACGTGAGAACAAAACGATGAGGGGTACAACTGAAGGTACTGAATGTGTTACAGTAGAATTTTGGTGGACATGGCTGATAACGATTAGTCGTATGTCAAATTGCACAGAAAATCATGCTGTGCATTGCCTTCTCAATTCACATTCTATACAAACGATAAAGTTTTCATCAGTTTTAAGACAGCATGCTGCCTTGAAAATCACCATAAGGCGTGGGTTGTTGACACAGCAAGTGATGAGACTGCAATGGACTTGAACTGAAGGAATTGTGGTGATACATTATTCTTGGGGCATTGACTGGCAAGGATGCTCGTTTCAATTCCATGTTTGTGTCCTTTTTGTCAACAATATTGGCATTAATGGCACTCCACCAAGTTTGCCAGCTAGAGTTCTAGAATAAACATTTAAAAATTGGGGAAAGTCTAACTGAACTCACAAGTGTTGTATCCGATAACAATTAAATGTATCTCATCGAAAGGCCATTTACTGCCATTTGCAGCGCCCCAACATGGCTTGCTCGATTGCTGGAACTATGTCACTATAATTTACATACTTTCAAACATACAATTAGTTGTACAAATATCTTGACAAATTATCGATATGTCCCTACAAAACGACACCTACACGCTAGAAATTTAGAATCTGATGGGTGTAATTTATATTATCAGTATGGCAAAAGAGATCATGTTTTCAATAAAAACCACTCTTGTGAGGTCGTGAGGCCCTGCCTCAATAGCAAGGCAGGGCTTAATGAGTAAATGTTACTGCAGTTAACAGCTCACGGGCATGGAGAGAGATTCTAGCGTGAAAGCAGCTGACCTGAGTGTATCATAAAATAATCTTGGAAAAATTGAAGCATTTTCTTGGGGTTGTACAGTACTCAAGTAAAACATAACATTGAACTTGAGAGACACCAGGCGTAGAAAACTCAGTTATGTGGCCCATGCCTTTCGCTTAGTGGACATGTTTCATCTTCAAGTGGCACGTGCGCACACTACAACTATCGGCCAAATTTTTACCATGTCATAAAGTATGTTTCCACACAAAACAGCAATCAGAAATTAACTGCTACAGAACGCAGAAAGCATGTACACGAACTTTCGCTAAATGCACCATCACAAACCACTAAAAAAAACACTACATATAAACTTGCTCCGATATTTTATCATTAATACAAGAGCTTCTGAAATCGTGCATAACTTTATTTCTTACAGATGTGTAATTATTCTTAACAAATTCATTGTGACTAGGTGATATTACATTATAACAGCAGTATTATGTAAGGCTTGATGAACACATGCCAAAACATCTTAATTACACATGTTTATACTTGAAAGATGGATATAAAGTTTGGGCATCAGTAAAGCGCGAAGTGTACTGCAGCCAAATGAGCTGTGCATAGTTTGCATTTTTACCAAGCAAGCGAATTGCAACACTTTCTGGGTGAAAAAAAAAGAAGAACATTAGATTTTTTGCAGTGTGTAGGAGAGCATGGCTCAGTGCAACTGGGAAGAGAGTCAACAATGTGAAAGAATAGCAGAAAGAATGAGATGTGAGAGACTGAACCGTCACGTGGAGCGGGAGTGTGCATGTCAATAACCTTCGCTGACGAAACGATAAAGGCCATGTTCGCCGAGGTCCTGATGACATTCGCTTCACTCCCCAACAGTGAATGGAGGAAAATATGACAAAAAACAAACTAATAATAAACAACTGCTTGTGGAGGCTATCAACCGCTAGAGGGAGCCACTTCTGTACTATTGCAAACTAATAAAACACACGCAAGGTCGGAAAAATCAGAATGCATTCGTTTGTTATGATTTTTACCAATCTGCACGGTTACGACCGCAGTTCCAGCTTGCAGTAGATTCGACGGAGCCCTACAGCATCATTAGTGACTAGTGCACAGCGATATTATATTGAGCTCTCAAGTTGACACTGCCTCCTAGAACTGTTTCAGATAAAAATTTTTCTCTTGTCTGCGTTATACTTGTCCATGACAGTGCAATTTTCATACTGCAATTGCAATGCAACTGCCATGTTTAACTGCTTAGATCTCAGGCCAACGAGCTAATGAGCTGGTAGCACAAAAAGCACTGGTGCTAGATAGAATTGGACACAGTAATACAGTGCGAATCTGGGCAAGACTGCCCAATTCGATATGAGAAGAAAACAGCCAAACAATAAAGCACGGAATCAAGTGCAATCAATGAGCATAACTTTCCAGGTATGCTATTCCCCAAAGATGTTCGACTGAATGCTATGAAGCCCTAGCTTTCTACAACAGAAAATTAGACTTTGAGCACCTGACTGTTCACAGCAAATACTTCACCACCAAGCTGACAATAGTGCTCTGTGCGACAAGGCCCAGCTGGCATTTTCATAAGCCAAGTATACAATGAGGGCATGTTTAATGTAAAAGACTAAAGAGATTAACATGCACAGACGGCGACTTGTAATTGAGCAGCGGAAAGATGATACCCCACAATCAAGGATAAAGGGTATGCCACGGTCTTCACCTTTCCAAACAACACATTAAGTCCAGTCATGAACACATGCATATCTAGTTGAGGACTGGTGTTCCTTCCATGGGCTTTGGCTTGCACTCATTTGTGTCACGGTCAGCACGTGTCATGCACCTATTCACGCCATTATGCAACAACACATTAGACGGCAGCCAAATAAAAATACATGCGCACTAGTAAAATCTGATAATTCAAATCCTGCATACCTTACCAATCCTTACACGCAGTCTCAGTTTTACAAACAGAAAATGCAATCCAGTGCTCTGTGATGGGCGGGTGCATGAGTAGGTACTTCTCTTCAACGAATGTCCAGAGACTTTTGTATAAGAGCTAGCTGAAGTGCATGAGCTCAAGCAGGAAAGACGTGTGTGCACATATGCATGAGAACATATCGTGTGGTTCCCTAGCATCTCGTTTCGATCATGGAAACAATCCATCACGCATTTCCACATCTGGGACCAGCCACTTAGCCACTATACGAGGGTGATAAGGTGCACGAGGCATGTGAAGGGATATGAACCGATGTGGCACTACCTTAGCAATTAGACTATGCATTACAAACATCCCACTGCCATGAACTGCAGTTGCAAGCAACCGAGATTGTGTAGAAGCGACGTAGAGAAGCAGAAGCCTGCCGACATTCAGCAGACTACAATTGTTTTTATTTATTTCAGTAACAGAAATTTGTAGTTACTCTAGGACGATTCGCTGATTCACCCTTGCTTTTGACTCCTTCAGCAAATGCCCAACGCACACTACTGCACAATTACCGAGCAACTGGTAAACGTTGAGTCACGTCAGTCTTTCATCTATGACACATTCTTGTCGTCACGCTGTATGGGAGTGTGTCACATGCGACTCATGCACACAGTTGCATGTATAATGCATTTGCACAGCAATGCGTTCACGCATTGACATCCGCGGCACACCCTCACAGCTACACGAGACACATTCACGCAGTCACGCCTGTGACACATTCTATCACAAAGTGCTCCCAATCTGGTCGTTCCCACTTGCAGATGCGGCAACACTGGAGGAACAATATATACCAACATGCTGCACAGTTCGGCTGGCCTGAACGAAAGTACTGTGGACTCTGCTACTTGTAGAAACGCCACTTACAACAAGAGCAAATGGCAAACAAAAAGTGTCCATATCCAAAGTTTGTCATCAACTTTCTCGCTTGCTCAAAATGCCGATTCCCTCATCAACCAAGCGCCACACATCAACACTCGCAATGAGTCATCTATGTACTACAAAACAAGCACTCTACCTATAAATCTCTAACACTCCAACTAACTGGCGTAAAAATTGGAAAAAAAGAAAACGTCAAGTAACATGTTCTCAGAGCAAAAAACGAGGTCAGCACTGCGTCCCATACACTGCAGTGAATGTTTCTTGGATGACTGTTGTGCGTTGCGCACAGGCTTGAACAATTGAACTGATGCACAGTAGAGGATGTACTTTCCGTGAGCTTGAAAGCCACATGTATGAAAATAACAAAAGATCATTCCTTCAGGTTCCTGGCATTCGATACCACTCGTCATCGGTCACTTGGTCACAGACACACATGTCACTGGGCAGTTGGTGTTGGCATTGCACGCGCACGACAAGGAGTTGCGCTGCATACTGTTAAAGAAGCAACCACATCCTCGCTTGCAGCTTGGCACCGCCTACACATAAAACAAAGTGTCATGAGGTAAAAATCCTGCAACTCCACCAAGGCACGGTGGCAACAAGGCGCATCCACCATTTCAGCAAAACGAAACAGACTAGCTGCAGCTTTATGTGATGACTCAAGGGAAGTGTTCAATGAGGAACAATCATGCAACAAAAGCGCTAATTTTGCGTGATTGTTCCTCCTCCATCGTCTTTGGTCCCGCATTCACAGTTTCTTGAAGGAGTATAACAACCAACTACCCCACCTATCCCTCTTTCTGTGAACTTAAAGTGATCGCCAGAGTCAGTCGTGGTGGTGCATAGTTCCAAGGTAAGAAATCTGGTTTGTGTGAGATTTGATAATCTCTTTGATGTGTGGAGTTCTATGGAGCTAGCCAGACGGCAACATTTAGTTTTAGTCATTGAAAAATTCAAATTTATGATGTGTCAATTAAGGAAGGACATGGAAATGTGGGAATGGTCAATTCGGTCAAAATATTCCATATTGAAATGGTATTTTTTATTTTATCGCAATCCTCTGAAGATCTCTTGCGTTGAAGTGAAATATTAGAATGAAATAGATTGTAGAAGCTGAGAAAATTGAAATTACCATACTTCTGAACAACTTTTCTTGGCAAATGCAGCAAAAGTCACAGAGCCAAATCGCTACTAAAGAATACTAAATATACTAAAGAATGTAGTCCCACAGTTGTGTCTTCATTTTCTGCGTGAAATATGAAAAATGCTGCCTTCATTTTTTTTGCATGTAGCTCTTAGAGACAGGACACAGCTCAAACCAGTAAGATATTCATATTTGTTCCGATTTATACGTAGTCACATGGCGTTTTTGCAAGCGTGAGAAAGCCACGCCTTTTCTGTGTAGCCCGAACGCCAGGCTGCGTTTGCGTGTACAGCCATCACATTCCACAGCGGTGCGGAACTTGTGACATACCGGACCACATTGTGCAGTAGTACATGTGCAGAAGCTCCGCCTCTGTAGCTCTCCCTACATTGCCAAGAAAACTTGTCGACGAGTATAGTGTGCTGTTATCAAAATATCAGAAAATCGGGCTTCAAAAGGTGCAAATCCGGCAGTTTTCCCTTAACACAGCACCACCATCTTGGCATCACTGTAAAGAGGAGAGATCAGAAGTCTAGGTAGCCACAGTGCTGCATTTCTTCAGTGAAAAACAAAAACAGCTGCATTCTGAGTTTCCTTTTCTTAGCCTTGAGCTCCATTTCCTTTGAGCACCATTTTCTAAGCTTTCATCTTTTGTGCAGTTGCTGCAAATCATCCCTGTGCTGTTTCACAACAAGTAATGATAAAACCGTTCCAATTCTTGCACTTAGATTCTGAAACGAGTCACGAGTACCATAAAGCTGTCGATATCTGTCTGCACATTTGAGATTTTCATGATAGGTTCGTTTGCAAAATTTGTTAGTAAGACGATATGTACAGGAGGTTTAAAGAAATGTCTTGTGTCCTTGTTTGAGTGCTTAAAAAATAAACCAATAATTTACGGTACATATTTAACCCTTTTGAATGAGCTTAATACAATATTATTAATGAATTTATTACTAATTTATAAATTTTGGGTTGTCAATAAGTGTCTAATGAGTGTTTTTACCTAAAAAACTATAGCATATAGCTCATAACTGATTTCACTTTTGATATCAGCATAGCTAATCACTTCAGCATGCAAACTGTCAATTATCCCCATAAATAACAGACATGCAGTCTTACACGGATATATCAAATCCACATATGTTGAATTTTCGGGTATATCGAACTCGCAAGTTATCCCCTTGAAGTTCCTTCATGAAGCTATACAAATTCGCACGTTTATCTCGAACGGTATTTTTTAGCCACCTTCGGATAAATCGAACACCACGCGAGGTGGAAGGTGCGCTTTGGCACTCGCTGCGCCTTGCGATCTCAATGATGGCACGGCTCCGCACGCGAGTTGGAAGTGTGCTTTGGCACTCGCAGAGCCCAACGACCTCCGCGCGGTCCCACACATCCGTCCAAACTCGAAATGCTCGAAAAATATAAGGGCGAGAGTGCTCAGACTGCATGGTCTCAAACTTGCGGAACAGCTTCTTTTTTTTCTCTCTCTTTTTCTCATACTTTCTCCGCATACCCGCGGCTTGTAGAGCAGGATCAAAGGAGCTGACGACCTCCTCCTTTCGCCTTTTCTTTTATTTTTTGTTGCCGTTTTGCGAGTTATGATCAGCCAACCACAGCTTGCACCTTTTGCTGCTGCCCCTCATCGGTAAAATAGCCTCGCAAGCACAGTGTTGGCACAGTCTGCTCTCGTTGTCGCGTCATTTACATACCACCGCATGTGCAGCATTCTTCTTTTGCGTGCGTGGTGTGCAAAGCCACTGCCGACTCCTTGAATTGCCGACTTCTCGTGTAGCTATGGCCAGCGTCAAGAAGTGCAAGACCCTTTACATTGCAACGAAAATGAAGGCTAATCAGCGCGTTGACGCGGGCGAGAAATGTTCGACCGTCGCGGACGACTTTGAGATATCACGGAGCACTCCGTGTACATTGTCGAAGAACAAGACAGATAACAAGGCATACATCGGGCGCCTGTCATGTGATGGCGGAACTTGCAGAAACCGGTGAAAACGGCCAGAACGAGCGCTTAAACAACGCGTTGCTCAAGTAGTCGTTCCTCTTCCGAGGCGCTGCACAGTGCTGCCTACTGGATCTGCAGAAATTAGGCGCCTTCTTCCTCTTCTAACCATTACCACCACCACCCACTTCCCGACAGCTGTTCCACACGAAGTGTCTGGGGACAATTTCGAGGAAGAGGGCTGCAATGTTCAGGCTGTTGCGAGCCTCGCTGACGAGAACATAGTAGCTGCAGTCGCAGGGACCCAGGATGCTCCGGCCGAGAGCTCCAGTGACGAGGAGGATTGTCCGGATGAGGCGCTGGCTACACACGCGTACTCCCCCGCGGAAGTGGTGACAGCGCTCAGCGTCCATTCGCCGTTCTGAAGTGGAGAAAACCAGGCTGTCGCAACTGGACAACCTTGATAAGATTGAGAAGAGTGTCCCCAACTTCATTTAGAAAACAAAGAAGCAGGCCAAGATGAGCGATTTTTTTTACGTGAATAAAACATTTTGTTGCGACGTGTGTACGAATCTTAGTTGTAATTCTTGAATGTGCCTATTGTAGGTGATGGTCTGCTGAGGTAATCTCTCAGGGCCTGTATTTATTTATATTAAACTTTCTATATATCTAACTAATTCACGATCCCCTTCGAGTTTGATATATCCTTGTTCGACTGTAGTTGTTGTTGCCATGCTCTGCCCTACAGCTCTAACTGTAGTAGTAGAGAGGCCTAACCATAGTGCAGTCAAGTGTATATGCTATTTATGGCAGCTTGCCACTGGAAAGCAAACCACCATGTTGCTTCAAGAATGCGAAAGGCCCTCTGATTGACCAGGTAGACAAAACTAATTAATAATTAAACTGCTGTACCTCGAACTTGAAGAAACCAATAGGTACCTTCCTGTTTTCTCGTAATCTCAAGTTATCATTGAGGCGTTGAGAGTTTCAGGATAAGCATCAGAAATGCAGCGTTGTTGATATATTGAAATATTTCACTGTCCCCCCCTGAGCCTGATAGATTCAGATTTGACTGTGGAGGCGGACACAATGTACGTGCACAACATCCCGTTTCATATTGTTGTGTTTGTGACTGGTGACCAATCAAATGCCGGGAAAGGAATTGCTGCAAAAGAAACTGATGTTGAAAGTACCCACCGATTATAAAGCCAACAAAAGGCAGGAGCTCATTCCTGGTCTCCGAGCGTGTCCATGGCACATGAGAACAGCGGCAATGACAGCGCCTTAAAAGACCTTTCTCGTAGGGCTGAGCGGCGAGGAATGCGACCCACTGACACTAGCTGTTGGTGCGACGTTGCCAGTACCAGTACGCAGCTGCTCCTTCTCACGTTTCCTCCGCTGGTGCTCCGCGATGCGGCGCTCCCTTTCAGCTTGGCGCTTCTCACGGATCGCAGAGTCCACCTCCAGCTCTGCCTGGTCCTCCCAGCTGGCCTCCACAGCGTCGTCGTGGTCCTCGAGCACACCCAGTTCTGCACCCTGGGTGAGTAAGAGGGCAGAAATATACATGTGGGGCCAGTGTACACTGTTGGCTGATGTACAGTACTATAACCTCATTACAACAGATCTGTCTGCAACAGACCTTCAGGTACTACGGTCGGTTACGATCTAATAATAGTTAGTTAGTTATATTGAGTTTACTGGCGCAAGGGCAACTCAGGCCAAGCAGCGCCAAACACAAGGCATTGGATAGTAACCAATAACTCTAAAGTTTATATAAAAAGCTGGTTTCTTTCTGAAAATTAAAAACATTACACAGGGGAACTAATGGGTCCTCTCCTAGAATGAGACTCAGGTGTATCGGTATTTGACATTTGTAAAGTTCTCTGAAATACTTTCGTCTTTCTGTTTCTATGTAAAGGCAAGTGATTAGAATATGCATAACTGTTAATGGTTGTTTGCATTTTTCACATTGTGGCATGTCTTCCCTTTTGAGCAAAAAGTTGTGGGTGAGGTGAGTGTGCCCAATGCAGAGTCTGCAAAGCAAAACCTCTATGAAGTGTTCCTTATGCTGGCACGATTTCCATTCACCAACGATGGGTTTCACCAGATCGAGTTTGTTACGTGTGCAAGAGTTCCACTGTTGCTGCCATTTTAATGATAATGCTATGCGAATAATGCGGAGACTATCTTTAATGGGAATATTTATTTGCTTATCTGTTGTCTGAGCTGCTAAAGATGCACATTCGTCTGCCTTTTCGTTGCCTGGTATCCCTGTATGGCTTGGTACCCCGCAGAAACGAACGGTCGCAATCTCTTTGTTTAAGACGATCATGTTCAGTATATCACGAAGTAACGGCTCACACTTGGATCTTAGATGTAATGCCTTTAATGAACTTAATGAGTGAGTGTATATGATTGCTTTTCGATGTTTCTCTGTGAATATTTTCCCTACTGCTTCCCATAAGGCGTACAATTCAGCGCTGAAGATGGATATACACTGAGGTATTCTGACACTGACGGCGCTTTCTCCTGTCACGATCCCGATGCCTACATGGTGTTTTATTTTGGAGCCATCTGTGTAAAATTCTCTGTATCCTTTGTATTTGTCCTGAAGTGTGCAGAATTCTTGAATTATGTGTTCTGGAGCAGTGATCTGTTTCTTAAAAAGGGTCAGTGAAAAATCACATGGCTGCATCAGATCAGACCATTGCGGTAGTCTCGGTGGTTTGATGGTGACATTTAGTGCGTCATTACAAATATCGTATGTGCAGCAATACTCTTCAAAGCGTAAAATCAATGGTTTGATGAGGTTTGGCCCGTTGGAATAGTGTAAGCGTGAGTTACATTGCGTGGTGATATCGTTGCTTATTTGGTGAGATAGTGACCTGATTCTTAAAACATATGAGAGGGTTAAAAGTACGGGACGCTGGCGTAGCGGAGGTTCATTGCAATCATTGTATAAACTTTGCACCAGCGATGTTCTATAAGCTCCACTGGACAAACGAAGACCGAGATTGTGTACGGGATTTAGGCGCTGAATGTAGGATTCTCTAGCCGAGCCATTAACGACACACCCGCAGCCTAAGATGCTACGTACGACGCAGCGATAAACCTTCAGTAGGCAGAACCCATCAGATCCCCAATGCTTATGGGACAAAACTTTCAATATATTAAGTGCTTTATTCGCCTTGAGTTTTACTGCATTTATGTGAGCCAGAAAATTCAGTTTTCTGTTGAATGTCACACCTAAAGATTTGTGTTCTTGTTTTATCATCATAGCCATATTATTTAGCACTGGGTCAGGGAATAGTCCTCTTATATACTCCCCCATTCACAACATTGAAACCAGCACTAAACTACAACAAGACCTCAACACAGTTGCGCTATGGGGCCAAGACTCACCAATGCCGTCAAACCTAACCAAATGCAAATTGATGTCATTTTCCCGTAAGCGCGCCACTGTTCATCATACCTACTTTATCAATTCGCTTCCTCTTGATTCGGCTTCGTCGTACAGGTATCTCGGTGTGCACATGTAGCCAACTCTCATTTGCGCTGCACGTGCAGTCCATCTACTCAGACGCTCTGCGCACGCTTAGATTTCTGCGCCGTAATCTAAAATCAGCATCTCCTGACATTAAAAAACTAGCATACTTAACATACGTACGCCCAAAGCTCGAATATGCATCATCCATTTGGAATCCATCCCAGGCATATCTCGCTAACGAACTAGAATCAGTCCAAAACCGCGCTGCCCGCTTTATAACCTCACAGTTCTCCAGAGAAATCAACGTCACCGCCCTAAAACAATCAATACAAATACCATCTCTCACATCACGCCGCCTGATCTCACGCCTATGCCTCCTGCACAGTTTCTTTTTTCGGCCGAAATCAAGACATGAACTTTTACAGCCCCCTAACAGAACTTCTCGCATGAACCATTCTATCCCCATTTCACCAATCAACGGCCGAACATCTGCAATGAACAACTCCTTTTCCCCCAAAGCAATTACACTTTGGAATCGCTTCCCCGACTCCATAGTTGCCACACCTGACCGCACATCATTCCGCGCAAAATTCGAATCCCACCTTGATTCCACCCAATAACCCATGACTGTAGATATATCCTACCAGCGTACTGTACGTGTAATTTTTTTTTTTGCCATGTTGTTTGTACTCTAATTCCCAGTCAAACATTTCTTTTGTTTATTGTTTGATTAGTTTTTGTTGTCATTCTTGACCAAACTACCATATGTGTATTCAGAACTGTATTGCTTACAATAATTTGTTCACATTGAATTGTACACTCTCCCAGTGTATTTGTTGCCCCCCCTTATGCAATGCCCTCGGGCCTTTAAGGATGCCATAATTGAAATGAAATGAAATGAAAAAGGGATGTTTAATTTGAGTGCTCGGGTGGGGATGCCACTTTTTATTACAATTGCAACTCCTCCTGATAAACGGCTACAGTGTTGCCGGTCCTTACGGACAACTGTATACCGTTTTAGTAAACGAGTGTGCTTTGCACCCAGGTTTGTTTCCTGGAGGCAAAATGCTATCGGGGAAAACTTGTTAAAGATGTCCTAAATGTCACCTAAGTTTTGAGGTAGGCCTCTGATGTTCCAATGAACAATAAAAGCCATAATGGAAATAAAAGGAAGAAAATGTACTAATAATGTAGATTGATTGTTAAAATTGTGGTAGGTGACATATGGTAAAAACTAGGTTCATGAAGAGTGATAACCACTTAGGTTATCACTTGGGTTGCAGCCTTATTGGGGTCTTGTCCCGCTTGGCGCGCTCAAGAGAGCGCTGGTCTTTCGGTGTCGACGACACCGAGGTTTTAGCGTCAACCTCCATCACCTTTTCAGAGGCGCTGGAGGATCGAGAGCCAGGCCTTGAGACGCGCGTCTCGAGCTTTGGTGTGCGACTGAGTCGCGGGCCCTGCGCAACCGGAGCAGGTAGGGCCGCCTCGGATGTGGATGGTGGAGCAGCACTGGCTGCTACCACCAAGGGGGCAGGTGGAGCTGCTACGGGACCACTGGCCGCGATCCCCGTAGGCTCCTGAGGCCGTTGCAGTGTTGCCCCCTGCCACACCGCGCTGGCATAGCTTTTCTGAGGTAAGATTCCAAGCCACTTCCTCGCTTCAAAGAAGGCGAGTTTTCCTTTGGCTGTTAGAGCAACTATTTCTTTTTCTTTTTTCCAGCATAAAACACGATCTGGCATATGCCGGGTGATTGCGTTTGCAGTTCATGCAGCGGGAAGATTCCCGACATTTCTCCGACTTGTGGGCATTGGCGCTGCAGTTGGCACAGGTATCTTTAACTCAATAAGAGTGCGAAGCATGGCCGAACCTCTGGCACTCTAAGCAGCGCCTCGGGTTCGGTATGTATGGTCTGACATTTATTTTCAGGTATCCTGCATCGACGGAGCTAGGAAGTGTCCTTGTGCCAAAAGTTAGGACTATGTGTTTTCTCGGGAGTTGTTAGTTTTTTCGTCTCATTGTTATTCGTATGACCTTTACTGCATTTTGATCTTGAAAACCATCGAGGAGCTCCTCGTCGCTCAGGCTCAGGAAATCTACTTCCGAGAAAACACCCCTACATGTGTTTAGAGATCGGTGAGCTGTGATTGCGATATCCATGTTTCCGATACTGTCTATGTCATAGAGTTTTGTTACTTGTTCTTTCCTTTTGATTTCTATCAAGAGGTCTCCGGTGTTCATTTTTGATGCTTTGTATTCCTTTCCTTTTGCTTCGGCTAGAGATTTCGTCACCAAGAAGAGGGACAGTTTAGGCAGAGTTGTATTTCCTTCACTATTCAAAACGTGAAAGCAGGGCAAGTTGTTTAGGTCTGTTTGATGGTTGAATTGAGGTGGAACTTCAGTGCAACATCTTTTTATAGGTCGATCAGGAAGTGGATGGAACACTTCTGCCATTAGATATTTGGAAAGTTCTGCAACAGCGCCGACCGCCCACCACGGAGCACTACAAGGGGACGCGGCAGAGCTTCACAAAAGAGTCTGCACGACGCCAGTCGTACGCCGCCGCTATAACCTAATATGGTATACCGAGGTTGGATGACCACACACGGTTAACCTATGCCGCCAAGAAAATTAGAAGTGACTAGAAGAGAGGAGAAGACAGGAAAGATGTAAAGTGAGAAGGAAAGACGAAGGTGTAGGTAGAGGGAGAGATAGGAAAAGGCGACTGCTGGTTTCCCCTGGGTGGGTCAGTCTAGGGGTGCCATCTACGTGAAGCCAGGGCCGAAGGGGTGTGTTGCCTCTGCCGGGGGGAGGGGGGGGCTTAAAGGTCCAATCACCCGGCGTCGGCTCAACCCCCAGGATCCCCTTTTCCCCGGACACGGCTCAGCCATGCACTGCTAGGCGTGGGAGGGAGTCGAAACTCCCTCGTTAGCTCAAGTCCGTGGTGACACTACGCACCAAACGCCTGCTTTCACAGACGCCCCTGTGGGGGATCTAATAATAAATACAAGCTCGGCACCTATAACTGCACCATACTAGCCATTCAGCTGTGCAAAATTCTTGCTAGGTGGCTTACACTCAAATGGTAAATACTTTTTTGCTGCAAATGTATATACTGTGCATGTTAAGAATTAAAAGTTTAGTGCCCCTACTTAATATACTATTACATTTGGCTAATCAGTGTTGATGGAATCTTTCCTGAAATCTGGCAGAAAGTTGAAGTTTTCAACTGAAAACCGGCGACAGGAGCTTGTGCTATATGGGAAAATCACCTACTTAAATTGAGCAGAAAAGGCCTGACATCATGGAAATGAGCAAACGCAATTCAATGGCAACATGGATATAAATATTTTAGAGTTTACCCATGACTGAGGATGGCGTAGTCAATGCAGTAGTGGGCGCAGGGAAGTCATTACAGTTTTTATGAAGTAATGCAAAATGTTTCTGTATGGCTGCTTAAGAACTGCTCTTCAAAATGCTTCACAGATTTATTTTTAAAATATGCATCCGCAATGTAAAACCCACCAATGGTAGGTGACAAGGAACGCATAGAACAAGTACAAAATTTAGCTTTGAAGGTTTCTGATCGGAAATTATGCATTTACCTTTAGCGCTACCCTAGCGGCGACAGACCTGAAATGGCAGTCATTAGAAAACTGCAGGGAAAAAAACCTCGTCTAAAACTTTTTCCTAATATTTTTCACTCAAAAATTGGCATTGATTAGCAACAGTATGTACTTGAACCTTATGCGTCCATGCAGCGCAATCTTTCCCATGAATTACGAAAAATGTTTTCCAATACAGAAGTCTTCAGACTGTCTTTTTGTCCACAAGAACGATATGGGAGGTGAACAGAATAGTTTTTGCTGCAGTTAATAAAACAATGTAATGATAAGTCTCATGTCTTGTTGAACTAGTGTTTTATTACTTCCTATTATGCCTTTCTCTAGAAACTTGCTGTGTTTCAATTTATTTATTATTGTGCCTGCATTTTGATTCCTGCCCTTAATATGTCATGTTGTATAAATACGCTTACACTGTGGTCACCGTTTCATTGCACACTGTATAGCATAAACGAACAAATAAGTAAATAAACCCAGAAAAGTTATTGTTGAAAGCTCATTCCTAGCTGCAGCTAGCACTTGTCATGCAGTCCAGTTCCTAACAAAGTGTCTAGTTGCAAATAACCATTCGGGTTGAAAAGTAGAGCTGTGCGAATAGAAAGATCATAGGTGCGAAACAAATTCAAATATTGAAGTGTGAGGGCAAATCGAATGAAATATTTTTCTAAAATTTCTCTGCTGGAATATTTTTTGAATAATTGGCTAAACTGCGGGGAAAACAAAGTTGCACAATATTCCTAAGCATATTCTTATGAGATAGAGCAACAAGAAAGTGTTTCTTTTTGCTTTATTGATGAAGCACTGACAGGGTGGTACTTCATAGTTGTCTTATAAAGAATGAGGCAATGCAGAGGCCAGATTGTATTAGTGCATGATTTGGTGCAATCGAAGTGCTGCCGAGAACACTATACCCGAGAAAGGCAAAGATGCTATTTCCTCGGCCTCTCCTCCTCTTTCAACTTGTGTGGAAGCCCAACTGATGTGGCAGACAAGGTTGTGCTCCCTTCCAATTTGGAGTTTCAAATATGCCTCGCAGATGCCTACATACAAGAACAATTGAAAAACTTAGATGCTAAAGGTATTCAGCGTCCGATATTTCGAACTTCCTGCACAAATTTCAGGTCCAAAACATCACTGACGTCCTACCTCTGCCACATCTATTATCTGCATGTTGGAACCAGCATTTTCTAGAGTCAATATATTTGCACGCAGCAGAGCTTGAAAGGAAGCTTTGTTGCATTAGAGAATGTGATGCTGTGAAGCATATTGAAAATCTGAAGTGGCCACTGCCAATCGGACACTGGCCATCTTCGGGAGGTTCGAATAGTTCGAATAGTAGAATTTCAGTGTGAATTGAAAAGTTAATGCGTTGCTTTCTACTCGATGTTTTAGTCAAACAACTGCGATCACAAACCTCTGAACTTATTTTATTAAATGGGCAAGATAAGGACATCAGTTTATTCTGTGAAGCAATGGCACTACAAGCAGTCATGAATCCAGTGTGCTGACAAGTATAGGTTGCTCTACATTGTGTGAACATCAGTCACCTTGAGTTCCCAGTCGCAAATGGTGGCTTGATTGAAGTTGGTCGCTGGTGTGAATGAGCCTTAAAGGAGAGGTGACGCACCAAGCAATAGAAACATACTGCTCACCTGGTACGGCAGCACAGCCTTTGCATCAAACTTGAGGCGACTAGAGAAACCGGCACCAAGTGTCGCACCGAGACTGTCCTTGGCACGAGGTATGTACTGCGATTGTCAAGGATGAGAGGCAAATAGCATTCAGAACAGCTGAGTAGTACAGCCATAAAAAACTTTTTTTTTAATTGTGGACATGGCAAGTTACACCATGCACATAAATACGAACACTAGTGGTTGCCAAGCTGAAAAAATAAGGCAACAAATACAAGCAAAAATTTAACACGTCTGATGATGAGTATTTAATTGATATGGTGCAGTGGTCTGCAGCGTTCTCCAGTGTACATGGGTGTTCCCGTGTTAAGCTCAAGGTTAAGGTTTCGATTCCCGGCTGTGGTGATTGTGTTTCTATCATGTAGAATACAGACATTCATGATAACAACACTACCAATACACAGGAGTACCTCAAGTGCTACTTTAAATATTTCTGTTCAATGGCAGGAGCCCATAACCTCTAAACCACTTTGCAAACCTCTCACCAGGATCTGCTGCATATCTCAGCTATACAGTAGTAGATTCTCATTCAACGAAACCTGGAGGGACCAGGAAAACATGTTCCGTGTAACAAGAGTTTCGTTTACCGAGAGATGACCAGGGGTGCAGAATACTAGAATGAAACCAATCCTGTCAGAAGCACTTGTTCCATTTAAGCAGAAGTTCCATTTATCAGATTTCCATTTACAGAGTGTAGGGTATATAGTGGAAGTTTTAGTGTTCCACACAGCATTTTAATGAGATATTGTTGCATGAGAGAAGAGACGTTGGATCGACGAGGCTACCGACAAGATATATTATATCCAGCAGTTGCCGCGTGACCGGTTAACCAGCGACCTAGCGGAGACAGCTCTTCGTCCTCTTCGTCAGGCACACATGTGCATCTTCCCAGCAAGTGCTAATATGCATGTAGCCTAATCCCTGGTGACAGAAGTGCCATCTCGGCTCATCTATATGTCAACGTCACAGGGAGAGTTGCAAGGCTTCAAGCGTGCCACATGTACGATATCAACATGTACGATATCATTGGTCTGTGGGGGCAGTTGAAGGTGACAAGGCGGCAGGGGCAATTTCATATGTCACAGGAGTAACCTCACGAAAGACTCTGCATAAATTGGTGTAGGGAGAAAGCAGTTTTTCCAAAAACCCGACATGACAGGTCGGGGACCACAGCAAGACCAAAGAACCAGGCGAAAAATGCACATCTCGGTGCTGTTGATTGTGCAAATGCTGCTGGTTCTCTTGAGAGGATAAAAGGCGAGTGCGGGCGATTTCGCAAACATAGGCAACCTGAGTGATAGCGTCAAGGGCATATTCGCTGGTCGGTGCCTCGGTAGACGGGATGACTGTATCTAGACGTAATGTAGATTCTCGGCCTAACAACAGAAAAATGGAGAGTAAGCGGCAGTGTCATGGCACAAAGAATTGGAAGCGAACGTCATGTATGGCAAAGCAAGGTCCCAGTCAGAGTGGTTGGAAGAAACATACTTCGCAAGCATGCCTGTAAGTGTTCGATTCAGATGCTCCATTAGTCCATTTGTCTGCAAATGGTACGACGTAGTGAGCTTGTGCCTCGTTTCACATGACCGCACGATATCGGCTATGACCTTCGATAGAAAGGTGCGGCCACAGTCTGTAAGCAGCCGGCATGGAGCTCCATGTTGCAAAATCACGTCGTGTAGGAGAAAGTCTGCGCATTTCTAGCGCAGCTCATTGGAAGAGCCCATGTGATGGCATATAATGTGTCATATTCTGTGGCCAGAGCTATCCACCTGTTGCCAGAGGAAGACAAGAGAAAATAGTCGAGTCTAAGCCAACGTGGAAGAACGGTTCTGACTAAATGTCAAATAGTTGAAGGTGTCTGGCAGGAAGTATCAATGGTGTTTTGCGGCGCTAACATTTCTCACAAGCCGCAACGTGTCTTCTGACAGAGTATGAAAGTCCTGGCCAAAAGAAGTGTCGGCGAATCTGGTTGTAAATGCGTGACACACCAAGGTGACCAGCAGTTGTAAGGTCCCAAAGTTCGTGGAGACTTGCCAAGCAAAAGTGTTTCAGAATGACAAGCAGCTGAGCTGGTCCATCTGGGTAAAAATTTTGGCGGTATAGTACACCATCGTGGAGGACAAATGAGCGATGCGACTATCGGAAGATGGTGATTTGAGGCGTTCGATAATAGCATGCAAGGAAGGACGCATAAATATTGTGAAGAGGCTCTAGCCACAGAAAAGCTGATGCCAGTAATGGCAACAATGTCAGAAAGTGAAAAATCATAATGGATACCAAAGCATAGAAATCAGGATTTCAGATGGAATCAAATCCAGGCATTCCATGTGGTAGTCAAGCATTCTACTGCAGAGCTACTCTAGCACTTGAAGCTGCTTAAAAAAAAGAACCCAGACAAGTGTCATGTATGATGAGGAAACACGTCAAAAGATGCAATATTGCATGGCAAAAGAAAAGAACTGCACTAGGCAAATCGTATAATGCGTGGGTGGCTTCAAGCTTTCAAACCATTACGAAGAGCTTCACTACAATTCATCATCCTTATCATCCATCACAGCAACAACAAATTTTGCAGATACATGGGTGTGCATATCGCCTTTGAAACACTTGGTGGGCTGCATAAATATTGGGAGCCTAAAGTGACTAATTAGTGGGGGTTGAGGATTCCAAGCATTCTCACATATTAATATTTCTTTTTCTTGTTCATTAAAATGTCTTACATGCACTTTCTTTATAGTTATTTGCATTCTATAGTCGATGTAGAGCAATATGAGCCATAAATGGCTAAGAAACATATATGTTTTGTGGCATAAAAAGTTTGCCCAAAACCAACTATACATTACACATTGTCATGGCATAAAACTAAAACTGTGCGACTTACCATGAAGCTAACTACATATTTAAAATCAGCATAAAAGCCTATATACACAAAAACAATTTCATTATCCTCGGCATTTCATTACCCTCATTATCCTATACAAACGAAATTTTGTATTCTAATCGCATCTCCTCCTATGCATTGTGAGTGGTTACATCTCTGATTGACAAACCACACTGCTTACCTTGTGCAGTCATAATGAAGGAGCCAGGAAGTGTATAAATATCAGTTATAAAAGCATAATTCGCAGTGCAATCTTGCTGGTGGCAGCATTTTTTTTTTATCTCATAGTCATCAAGCAACAGAGATTTTTGTGAGCCTTGGAGCAGCAACAGCACTAAACATGCTGAACCATTTTCAGTTGAATCTTTGTGAAGTGGCATGGTATGATGACAAGCCACGATATAAGTAGCGACAGCACAACGTTGGCACAACCTTTAGATTGGACAGAACAGCCACTCGAGTCCCTTGCACTTCACAGCACTTAGCTGCTGTCCTTGCCTGCTTTTACCCACTTTGTAACAGTCTATATGTGCGACATAAATTGCCGCCCGCAATCACTGATGATGACACGGGGGGACCCATGGCGTAATATAACGTGTGACAGCATGAAATGTGAAACATGAGTGGCCGTTGCCGCAGGAATCGCCGCAGTTTCGGCGTAACGTGTGAGGTGGTCAACGCCCACAATAATCCATCGGTTGCCGTTCGTTGATCGCGGAAAAGGGCCAAGCAGGTCAACACCTACGACGTCAAATGGTGAACTCGGGGGTGCTATGGGATGAAGTAGTCCGGCTGGCGGAGTTGTAGGACGCTTGCGGCTTTGACATTGCTCACAGCTCGCAACGTACGCAGTCATACTTTTACGCATCTTCGGCCAGAAGAAGCGTTCTTGCGTACGATAAAATGTCCTAGAAAAACCCATATAGCCAGATGTTGAATCGTCGTGCATTGCTCGCAGTACGTGTTGTCGTAGACTTGTAGGCACAGCTAGAAGTAGGCGAGGGCCTACGCCGGAATAATTCTTTTTGTAAAGAACGCCATCCTTTACGATGAAACCACGTTGACCGTTCGTTCTGGAAATAAAGAAAGAAGCGAGACTGTTGTCATTGCATTGCTCTGCTCGAAAAGTTGTTAGGTCAGAAAACGGAGTATCTACTACAGCCAAATATTCATCAAAGTTGTCAGCGTCACACTCGGTTGTCGGAAGTGGAAGTCGTGAAAGTCAATCGGCGTCGGCATGACGACGACCGCTCTTGTAACAGACTTCAAAGTCGTGTTCTTGCAATCGTAACGCCCAACGAGCAAGACGACCAGATGGGTCCCGTAGTCCAGTGAGCCAACATAAAGAATGGTGGCCCGTGCCAACCGAGAATGGGCATCCATAGATATAAGGGCGAAACTTGTGCACGGCGAATACGACCGCGAGACATTCCTGCTCTGTGACAGTATAGTTTCGCTCCGGTTTACTTAAACAGCAACTGGCATAGGCAACGACGTGTTCAGCAGCTCCATGGCGTTGGACCAAGACGGCGCCGATACCTACACCACTGGCGTCGGTATGAACTTCTGTGGCAGCAGATGGGTCATAGTGGCGAAGTACGGGCCCTGACGTAAGAACAAACTTCAGTTGCGAAAAAGACGACTCGCATTCCGCTGACCACCGAAAAGGTGCGTTCTTGTTGAGTAGGGACGTCAAAGGGTAAGCGAGGTCGGCGAACCTGGGCACGAAGCGATGGAAGTACGAGCATAGGCCCAAAAAGTTCGCAACTCTCGTACCGACTGAGGTTGTTTGAAGCTGCTGACTGCAGCGACTTTCTGGGGGTCGGGTCGAACGCCATGCTTGTCCACCAGGTGACCGAGAACGAGAGTCTCACGGCTGCCAAAGTGACACTTCTTAGAGTTCAGGGTGAGGTTAGCTCTCTCAAGGCAGGTGAGAACAATGTCTAGGCGATGGTTGTGTTCATCGAATGTACGGTCAAAAATTATAATGTCATCCAGGTAGCAAAGACAAACTTTCCATTTTAGTCCACGTAACACAGAGTCCATGAAGCGCTCAAACGTGGCTGGAGCGTTGCATAGGCCAAATGGCATTACACTGAATTCAAATAGACCATCTGGGGTTAAGAAGGCCGTTTTCTCTTTGTCATTTGGGTGCATGGGGATCTGCCAATAA